CAGCAGTGGGAGGGCTCCTAGTGTCCTGGCCCCACTGCTGGACCTCCTGGTGGCTCCTGTCAACCATTAAGATGACACTTCTCAGCCACTGCAAGTTAATCCCTTCTGCCAGCCTAAGCAACAATTCTGATTCTTTCGGCCACAGTGAGACAGAAAGAGTGCTGGACTGGATGGGCCACATTGGCCTGATCCAGCATCGGCTTCTCTTGTGTTCTTACGTAATACCCTCAGTTACTTAGGGCAGACCCCAAAGCCAGAAGAGGGTGCCCCCATGTACAGAACGGGACCTCAAGCACCCTGGCTAATTCCTCCCGCTTTACTTTTTTAAAAAAGAGATGGGTTCTTGCTGCCTGGGGGTGTCTGGCTCAGCCCCACACACCCCACCCGCGTGCCCAGCGCCCCCGAGAGTCCTGCCTTTCTCCTTCCCAGGCCCTGATTCCTTCCTTCCCTCTCTGCAAGCAACGCACATGAAGAAACCCTCGCAAAGCAAAGAGAGGTGGTCTGTACAAAATCTCGGCTTCGGAGGTGGAGGGTCACGTCCTTTCAGAGGCGTGGCTGTGCGGGTCTGCAAGAAGGGCCAGTCTCCAAATGGCGGGCAGGTGCCGCCCACCCCCAGCTAAATTCAGCACCCACGGGGCACCCACAGCCGGGACCCCTCCTGCTGGTACCTTCAAGACCCAACTGAACCCAAAACTGGGGTGCATCATCTCTATGATCCGCAGCAGGAGCTCCAGCGTCCAGATGTCGCCATTGAACCGGTCCCTCAAGTCGATGTATTGGACCTGCAGGGCGAGAGGGGAATGTGAAGGGGGAGGGGCTCGCCCCTGAAAATTTATTTATTTTTTTAGTTTTATTTATTAAATTTCTACCCCGCCCTCCCGCTGAAGCAGCTCAGGGCGGCTTACAAGCAATTTAAAACTAACATTCGGTTAAAACCAACAATTACAACATATAAAATAGTTCCATAAAATCCCAGCTAATTCTTCTTGTTGTTCAGTTGCACAGTCGAGTCCGACTCTTCGCGACCCCATGGACCAGATCACGCCAGGCCTTCCGGTCTTCCGCCGTCCTCTGAAGTTTGCTCAATTTCATGTTCGTTGCATCGATGACACTGTCTAACCATCTCATCCTTTGCCGTCCCCGTCTTCTTTGACCTTCAGTCTTTCCCAGCATCAGGGTCTTCTCCAGTGAGTGCTCCCTTCTCATTGGGTGGCCAAAGTATTTGAGCTTCAGTTTCATTATCTGGCCTTCCAGGGAACAGTCAGGGTTGATTTCTTTTAGGATTGACTGATTTGATCTTCTTGCAGTCCAAGGGACTCTCAAGAGTCTTCTCCAGCACCATAGTTCAAAAGAATCTATTCTTCGGCGCTCGGCCTTCCTTATAGTCCAACTCTCGCAGCCATACATGACTACTGGGAATACCATTGCTTTGACCATGCGGACTTTTGTTGGCAGGGTGATGTCTCTACTTTTTATCATGCTGTTGAGGTTCGCCATCGCTTTCCTCCCAAGGAACAGGCGTCTTTTGCTAGTGCAACACCAACAGCGTAATCGGTTCTTGTTGGAACGCCTGGCGAAACAGCGCCGTTTTAACGGCTCTACAGAACAGCTGGAGGTCCCGTAGGGCTCTGATCTCATGAGGGAGTTCGTTCCACAGCGTTGGTGCCGCCGGGGAGAATGCCCTGGTCCTAGTTGCCGCTAACTTGGCGTCCCTAGGCCCGGGGGGGCAGACGATTTTGCGTTCCAGATCGCAGTGCTCTTGGGGGAACATATGGGGAAAGGCAGGGCACAGACAACCCCCCCCCCGCAATATTGTGCATGGTCCCCCAGCCTCCGAATGCAGCCGGGTCTCTTGAAGGCCAGATCACGCAGCGTCTCCCCCCACCCCCCAAGAGCCCCTCACCTTTACGGCCACTGGGGTGCCGTCCTGCAGCCGGGCTCGGTGCACCTGGGCCAGACTGGCGGCGGCTACCGGCTGGTAGTCGAACTCCCGGAACAGCTGGTCGGGCCTGGTGTTGAAGTCCTCCAAGAAGAGCTCGTCCACCTGCGGCGGCGCCAAGAGAACCAATGGGAGGAGCCGAGTCAGCGGGAGGGACTTGGGACTGTACAGAGTTTTTAGAAGTCCTTTCGCAAGACACAGTCAATTGCATCATCTGACACAATTGTTCATAAAAACAAGCATGCTTTTCTACATCGGCATTCTCAAAAAAAAAAAAAACCGAAAAGAATGCTGTCAAAGAAGGATTGTGTTTTATTCCTGTGTTAGATTCAGAACAGGCTGCCCTGAGCAGATAGCTTTCCCCACAGGTTCCTCAACAGACACCGGTCCCATTCTGGGCGGGGGTTGCACACCGTGTGTTTGCATAAAACACCGTCTAGAAACAACCTTAAAAGAGGCTAGATTTGAGTCCAGGAGCACCTTAAAGCAGGAGTGTCAAACATGTGGCCCGCAGTGGAGCTGGCTGTCTTCTGCTTCTTCTTCCAGTTCTGCTGCTGCTGCGTCATTGTAGGTTTGCAGCTTACAGATACGCACCTGAACAGCATACTTGAGATTGCCACGGCACAGAGATTTTGATGTAATAATTCAGAGCAAGAGGTGCCAGTTATCAGACACTCGCCCCGGTCACACGGGCCGGATATCGCGGGGGGGGGGGGGGCGGGGCTGTTTGCCCCGGGGCAAAATAAGGTGCGGTTGCACAATCAGACGTCCCATGGAGGTCCCTGCGGCGTGGCAAAGAAGCGGCACGGTGCGGCAAACGGGTTTGTTTTTTCTGTAGACCAAAGTATGCGCATGCTTCGTTGGGTGCTTGTGCGCATCCATGGAGACTTGGGGGGAAAAAAACCTTTTTGCAAGGGGACATGGGCGGGCGCCGGATGCCAATGGAAACACGATCAGACGCCCGCCCTTGCCCCGCGGTTACCGGAAACTAGTACCTTGGAGGTACCAGTTTTTTACCCCGCATCTTCGGCGGGAAGCCTCGGGTGAGCCACGGGAGCTCTATGCTTCCCAGATGTGGCGGTGAGATCGCGCCCGGAAAATCCGCCTATCTTCTGTCTCTCTAGCGTGGCTAATGTTCCGTGTGACCGCAGCCACTGTTAAATAAACAAAATATTGCAAGAGTGCTAATGATTTAAGCGTGTTTTTATTTTAAGTAAAAAAAAAAGCCCTTTGTGTTTGTGTCCTTTATAACGTTTATATCTCCGCTACCTGGCATTACATTTTACGACACACAGGGCCCGGCCCAACAAGGTCTCATTTATGTCAGATCCGGCCCTCGTAACAAATGAGTTCGACACCTCTGCCTTAAGAGACCTGGACTTGAATCTTGCTGCTCTACAGCAGACGACCAACACGGCCATCAAAGATGCTCTTTCAAAGTGATCTGTAAATAAAAATGCAGTGCACAATCCCACACACAGCACCTCAAAAAGCCTCTCCTCTGGTTTAACCTCCGCATTTTAAATTCTGAACCCTGAGAGCCACAGGTTTTAAAAAAACTGGCATATCCCCTCTTTGACTTGGTATATCTGTTGCAGCTAGCACTTCAGGCCCAAATATGAAACGGCTAACTTGAATAACAAGACGGAAACAAAAAGTTATCTCTCCAGCCAACCTAGATTTATCTCCCAGAAGATTTGGGCAATATGAGACCCATTTGATTTTGGGAGAAATCTTTTTTATGGAGCGTATAATGATGCTTCAAAAATCAGTTAAGGGCAGGAAGTTAATGGAAGAAGTTAATATTGCAAAACGAACTCTAATGTGGTATATGATTGCAACAGCTAGAATGACATATGCTCAGTGTTGGAAACAGGAAGAAAAAGTACCAGAGATCTGGGAAAGCATAAAAAAGTTAACTTTCGTGGTTGAAATGGACAAAATGACAAGAAAACTTAACAATCAAGAGGCAGAAGAATTTTTCGCAGATTGGAAAGACTTCAAAGACTCCAGCAGCACCTTCAAGACTAACAAAATGTGCGGCGGGGGAGGAGCTTGCGCGAGTCACTGGCTCACGTCTTCATCTCCTCCCCTGCCACAAATACTGCTGGTCTTTACAGTGCTCCTGGACTCTGTCTCTTTTCTTCTGTTTACAGGATGCCTTTTACTCTGCACGGCCAATCGGAAGCCGGGCTGGGCAAAAGCCCCATCTAGCCCCATCCACATCCTAAAAGCACTTGGCGGGCACGGGGAAAGGGGTCGGCTGGAGCCGGGGTGCCTGCGGGCACCGCGTTGGGGACCCCTGAAAGGTCACACAGGAAAATGTAAGCAGGAGGACCAAAGGACCAGGAAACACACCCTGCGCAAGACGAGACGCAGTTATGCACAATTCAAACACCATTGGCTTTGGACGGTGTCCTGGTCTGCCCACGCTTCTGCCAGCATGAGAACCACCCCCCCCCCCAACTGCCAGAATGACATATGCCCAATGTTGGAAACAAGATAAGGTCCCTGAGATTGGGGAATGGATTAAAAAACTACTTTTTATGGTGGAAATGGACAAAATGAGAAGGAAACTTAACAACTTGGAAGCAGAAGAATTTTTTGCAGACTGGAAAGACTTTAAAGAGTATTTAGAAAAACACTGGGATGTAAAAGACAATTTGATTTGCTTTGATAACTACTGAAAGTTATAAGAAGTAGAAAATAGATAAATGTATTTGAATAACAATTGAAAGATAAGTTACGTAGAGATGTATTGTGAAAAAAGAGGGGAATGAAGTGAATATAAGAATGGGGCAGGAGGTTGGAGCACTGTGGGAAGCCGAAAAGGGGGGGAGGGAATTGAGGAGGAAAGGATGTATAATGAATTAAGTATTGATATATGTTTAACTTTTTAATATATCCTAATAAAATGTTCAAAAAAAAAAAGAACCTTCCCCCCCCCCAACCCCAGCCCCATCTTGCCCACCTCCTTGTAGCCGCGCTTGAGGGCCTTGTCCTCCAGGACCCGCAGGGTGTTGATGTACTCGGGGGGCAGGAGGTGGTTGAAGGCACACAGGCCCTGGCCCAGCTTGACGTAGAGACCGCCGTTCCGGATGGCCCCGGAGACGATGGTGTTGGCCGCCCGCTGGTGGCACCTGGACACGAGGTCCTTAAACGCCGGGCTGTTCTGACGACAGGGAAGACGGCGCGAGGGACAGGCGGTCAGCTCCTTCCCGGCAGGCGCGGCTCAGGGCGGTCCCCCCCACCCCCCCCGCCAAAAAACCACAGGCCGCTCTGTCCCCGACCCCCCCACGCCCACTACAGCTCCAACCCCATCCTAGCCCGGCTGCTGATGCTCTAGCTCTCCACATGCAGGGATTATCAGCGGGGAGCAGCTGAACTTGCAATCCCCCCCAAAAAACGCTCCCTCTAAGCTGTGGAGTCCTGTGAGCAAAGATTCTACTCTGTGAGCTCCTGGCCTTAAAGTTGTGAACAAGTGATTTGGCTGCTGCATCACTTAGTTTGCTCTGGATCCCCTCCTTCCTGAGCTAGGGCAAAAAACTGTGAGCTGGAGGCTAAAAAACTGTGAGCTGGCCCACACTAACTCACCTTAGAGGGAACGGCCCCCTACCCACATGAACTCATTCATTTAGAAATTTATCTGCCACCTCTCCAGAGGGCCTGCGCCACCTCCTGTACAGACATAGGAGAACTAACCCCC